CGCCTGCATCTATGGCAAGCTTCCTCAGAGGTGAGGGCTCACCTCTGAGGAAGCTTGCCATAGATGCAGGCGAAACGTCAGGAGAAATGCTTCTAGAACATGGCCATATAGCCAGAAAAAACCCACAAGAACTGAGTGATTCCAGCCATGAAAGCCTTCGACAATACATGTGGACAATTTCAACAGAAAGGAAGAAACCATGAAAATGAACAAAATCTGGCTACCAGTATTAAAAAACTCTAAAATTACAACAGCAAAACAACAGAGGGGAAACAAACAGGCACATAAAATCACTCTCAACAAAAGATTCCCCCCAGGCACTTCCAAGCCATTGAATGCTAATCAAGACCTCACTAACTCTAAGGATGCTTGCCATAGATGCAGCTGAAACGTCAGGAGAAAAATTGCCTCCAGAACATGGCCATATAGCCTGGAAAAACCTACAACAACCCACAATTAGAGAACTACGTTCCGCTTAAACTGCCATAGCAATGCACCACTAAAATGATATGGACTTCTGGACTGGTAATTGAGGGGGAAGCATATCGAATCCTCAGCCAAGCAGTTGATCAAACTGCAAATCCCAAATTTCTACAGGATGTAGCCATAGTACTTAAAGTGGGATCAGAGTGATTGGTTGATATATATACATACACACGTACATACCTCTGTGTGTGTGTATGAGAACTACCACAAAAATCTAAGAAAATAGCAAACTAATAACCTTGATACTCAGTTGGGGAATCACCATAATCTCCCTTCACTTCCTTCTTTATTTAATTAGTTTAATTAGTGTAAGGTGGATGAGGTACCTCCCCAATCAAGAAATAGAAGCTTGCAGCTTACTACAGGGTTTGTACTTATATTACAAGGGTGTGCTTTTAATTATTATTATTAATTAATTATGATCTCAACAAAATGTTAATCTCAAGCAGAGGAGACACTCTGAATTGATATAAGCATTGACTTACCAGGTTTGCATGGATGCAGTAGCTAGAGTTAGGAGTAATCATTGGATGCAGGTGTTAGTAGTCAAAGGTGGTTGGGCTGCATTGCAAATAAAGGTACAATACACTACGATCTATATATATATAAATGCTCTGTGCATAATGAGTACCTTAAAAACAAAAGAACCAATGAATGAAATCACACCACATTTGGCAACAAAATGTCTTACAACACAAGGTGTGACCATCATTCAAAAATTATGATTTTTGTCATTTGGGAATTGTAGTTGCTGGGATTTATAGTTCGCCTATCAAAGAGCATTCTGAACTCCACCAACAATGGAATTAAATCAAATTTGGCACACAGGACTCCCATGACCAACAGAAAATACTGAAAGGGTTTGGTGGGCATTGACCTTGAATTTTGGAATTGTAGTTCACCTCCATCCAGAGAACACTGTGGACTCAAACAATGATGGATCTGGACCCAATTTGGCATGAATACTCTATATGCCCATATGTGAACACAGATGGAGTTTGGAGAAAATAGCTCTTGACATTTGGGAGTTGCAGTTACTAGGATGTATAGTTCATCTACAATCAAAGAGCATTCCGAACCTCACCAGTGATGGAATTGGGCCAAACATCCCACACAGAACCCCCATGACCAACAGAAAATTCTGTGTTTTCTGGTGATCTTTGGTGACCCTTCTGACACCCCCCTGGTGACCCCCCCCCCAAACCGGGTCTTGACTTCCCAGGTTGAGAAATGCTGCCTTAAAATCAACCAGTCCAACTCCCTTCACTAGGGCAAGAAAACATAATCAAAGCCCTCCTGACAAAGGGCCATCCAGCCATTCACTCACACACATATATACATATATGACAGATGCAGTTTCAAAGATTTGAAAGGGACCCCTAAAGAAGGAAAATGATATGTTGCCTGTTCCAGAGTAGGCAAAACAGACAATCTCCACATCAACACTGGCAAAGAAACAACAAGAAATACTGTTACTCACAAGCATAAAGAAATTACATATATTAGAAACCAACACTCTCATTACTTTATTTTCCAGATCACCGGACTGGGCCACAGCAACGCGTGGCGGGGAACAGCTAGTGTAGTATAAAAATACAACTGAAAAAAGTCTAAACACAAAAAAACACAAGAATTGAAAAATAGCAAACTAGTTATCTTGACTTTGATTATCAGCACAGTAATCACCACGATCAACCTTCACTTCCTCCTTTCTTTAATGTATTTAATTAGTGCAAGATTTCTGTTTTTCAGTTTTGAGCAAACTACAGCAAACACGGATTGCATCTACACTGTAGAATTAATGCAATTTAACACCCCCTTTACAGTCACGGCTTAGTGCTGTGAGAGTTGCCTTTATCTTGGGAGTTGTCGTTTAGTGAGGGACTAGCACTCTTTGGCAGAGAAAAGTAAAGAAATTATAAAACTACAGCTCCCGTGATTCCATAGCATTACGCCATGGAAGTTAAAGTGGGATCAAACTGCATCAATTCCACCATGTAGATGTACCCTCAATCTATTTGGAGCAATGCCTCCCCTTCCTATATAGTCTCCCTGGTGACCACCAACTTGCATTTGAGAAACAGCATCCAAGATCATCTGATTTTAGGCAGCAACAACAAATGGGACCTTTGAGCAAGGCAAAGAAAAACCCAGCACACACTGCGATCAAACACAGCGGTGGCCCTTTGAGATGTTTGAAAGGCCAGGAAGGTGAGATCGATGAGTCAACAAACACCATCATTCTTCATGGGTTATAACTATACTACAAGAAGTAATGCTGCAGATGTGCACATACTTTGATCAATGGCACTGTTGAGAAGTGCTCTGACTCTCAATTCATTTAAAGCATTTTGCCTATCCACGGGCCTTTGCTTTAAATGATTTCCCCACTTCTATTTTTGTTCTTCTTTATCTCAGTGCCTGTTAGAAATAGTTGCCTTTTCCAAGCCTCTACTAGTTATTTGTTATGTATATAATTCAGATTGCTTACTGTATTGTATATGTGTGTATTGGCATGCAGTTTTCCTTAACTCTATGTTGTGGGAGGGGCTGCAGACCATGTGATCAGATCTGGGATTGCTCAAGACTCAGGCTCCATTTTAGAATGTACAGATGCCAGTATGCTTTACAGAAGTCAGACTCTATTAGATTCTCAGACTAGAGAGATGCTTTAGACCAGGGGTACTCAAACTTTTTAAACACAGGGCCAGGTCACAGTCCCTCAAACTCTCTCCACTTACCAAGATCCCTTAGATCTTCGAGGAGGCCCTCCTTTCACCCCTACCAATCTCACAAGCTCGTCTTGTGGGCACAAGGGAGAGAGCCTTCTCTTCTGTGGCTCCCCGACTTTGGAACTCATTACTTGGAGAGATCAGGAATGCCCCTTCACTAGAAACGTTCAAAAAGAACCTTAAAACCTGGCTCTTCCACTGCGCCTTTGGCAAGTAGGTGCACAATATGAAACCATTGCAATGTTCTTCCCACTGGAATGCACACCCTCCAAATGGGAAGTTTAGCTTCACAACTCTGTGTGTTTTTACGAGTTCCCTGCAAATACTTGCTCCTATTTTTATCTCATTAGAGACTTTTTAATTGTTTTATTCTGTATATGTGGCCCGCCCATTGTTATTGTGATTGTGCTTATTGGAATGTTATTTTATGACTGTGTTTATAATTTTTTTCTTTTTTGTAATTTTGATGATGTTGTTTGTTGTTTATGCTCTGGTTTTATTTTGCTGTAATATTGTCCGGGCATGGCCCCATGTAAGCCGCTCCGAGTCCCCACTGGGGAGATGGTGGTGGGGTATAAATAAAGTTTATTATTATTTATTATTAATTAGCATCTGTGTTGGGGTGCATCTTCACTGCAGAATGAATGTAGCTTGATGCCACTTTTACTGCCATGGCTCAATTCTGTGCAATCCTGGGATCTGTGGTTTGGGCAAGCACCAGCACTCTTTGGCAGAGAAGGCTAAAGATCTTGCAAAACTACAACTTACGTGACTCCGCAGCATTGAGCCATTGCTTTTAAAGTGGTGTCAAACTGCACTAATTCTATAGATCAGTGTTTCTCAACCTCTCTAATGCCGTGACCCCTTAATACCGTTCTTCATGTTGTGATGACCCCCAAGCATAATATTATTTTCGTTGCTCCTTCATAACTGTCATTTTGCTACTGTTATGAATCGTAATGTAAATATCTGATGTGCAGGATGTATTTTCATTCATTTTCATTCATTTTCATTCACCCAAGTTTGAATGCTGGTAGGGTGGGGGGTTGATTTTGTCATTTGGGAGTTGTAGTTGCTGGAATTTATAGTTCACCTACAATCAAAGAGCATTCTGAACTCCACCAATGATAGAATTGAACCAAACTTGGCACACAGAACTCTCATGACCAACAGAAAATATTGGAACTCATTGACGTTGAGTTTTGGAGTTGTAGTTCACCTACATCCAGAGAGCACCGTGGTTCAAACAATGATGGATCTGGACCAAACTTTGTACACAGACTGAACATGGGCAACTGTGAACACTGGTGGAGTTTGGGGAAAATAGACTTGACATTTGGGAACGGTAGTTGCTGGGATTTATAGTTCATCTACAATCAAAAAGCATTCTGAACCCCACAAATGATAGAATTGGGCCAAACTTCCCATACAGACCCCCCATGACCAACAGAAAATACTGTGTTTTCTGATGGTGTTTGGTGACTCCTCGGACGCCCCCTCGCGACCCCCCCCCCCGGGGTCCCGACCCCCAGGTTGAGAAACACTGCTATAGATGAACCCTTGGTCTCTTTTCTCACTGTTGCTAAAGAGAGAAGGGGAGAGTACAGGAGAAGGACTAGATCTGATTTCCACAACTAATGTTGAGAGTTGGGTTACATGTGTATTGTGCTGCCCTCTGAGGTCTCAGCTACTTCCCCCTTTTCTTACCAGATAAGCATGTACCGCCTCCTCTTTCCTGGTTGCACTCATTTTCCAGCTTCCTCCTTCCTCACAGATGCAAAAGAAACTAGAAACTGAAGCTGCAGAATCTGTGCCTTGGGAGGAACAACAGGGTTGCCTAGGTGGCAAAGCTCTCTCAAAGTAAAAGTGTCCGTCACTTGCACCACGAACTTGCTTGAAGTTCACTTTCCAAGTCTAGTCTATGCTATTAAAAGGATGATGACAGCTGAGCATCTGTGCAGGAGACACATCATGCCTACTTCTCAGCAAACGTCCGCTACATTTTAATGAGACAAGTTCCCCATGTTGATTTTATTGGCTCTCAAGAACGACTTCCCCGTTTGGCAAGAAACAACTTCTCCATTCTTATTAAGATGCCCAAGTGCCTGAGCATTGTGTGTCTCCTGTTAGCGTCTTGTAAGGATTATTTTTTGTCTTTAATGATTTCTGTCTACAACATTTCCATGTCATTAACCTTTGTTTTCTTCTTTCAGTTCATTCATGTCTACAGAACAAGCGGAGTCATGATGGTGAAAAAGGTATAATTCTTCTTTAATGTATACTGCTAAGATCTGTTCAGTCTGCAGCAAAGAATCTTGGGGCGTATCTACACTGTAGAATCAATGCAGTTTGACACCACTAACTCTTGTGGCTTAATGCTATAGAATCCTTGGATCTCAACTAACTATAAACCACTTGATTCCGTAGACTTGAGCCATAATAGTTAAAGTGATATCAAACTGTGTTAATTTTGGGTTGTTGTAGGTTTTTCCGGGCTATATGGCCATGTTCTAGAGGCATTTTTTCCTGATGTTTCGCCTGCATCTATGGCAAGCATCCTCAGAGGTTGCGAGGTCTGTTGGAACTAGGAAAAAGGGTTTATATATCTGTGGAATGACCAGGGTGGGGCAAAGGACTCTTGTCTGCTGGAGCTAGGTGTGAATGTTTCAACTGACCACCTTAATTAGCATTTGATGGCTTGGCAGTGCCTGGGGGAATCTTTTGTTGAGAGGTGATTAGATGTCTCTGATTGTTTACTCTCTGTTGTTTTGCTGTTGTAATTTTTGAGTTTTTTTTAATATTGATAGCCAGATTTTGTTCATTTTCATGGTTTCCTCCTTTCTGTTGAAATTGTTCACATGCTTGTGTATTTCAGTGGCTTCTCTGTGTAGTCTGACATGGTGGTTGTGAGAGTGGTCCAGCATTTCTGTGTTCTCAAATAATATGCTGTGTCCAGGTTGGTTCATCAGGTGCTCTGCTATGACTGACTTCTCTGGTTGAAGTAGTCTGCAGTGCCTTTCATGTTCCTTGATTCATGTTTGGGTGCTGAGTTTGGTGGTCCCTATGTATGTGTTAATTTTACCGTTTAGATGCTGCCATGGTGTATAATAGAACCTCATAGTTACAATTTGCCTTAATGTGACAAAGTATGTTGTGTGTGTGCCAAGGGTGCAGGACTATCTTGCCAAACTGGATCTAAAATATTTTGTGAGATGTAAAGAAAGTTAAGATGGACGTTTAGGATACTCATCACACTTACTAAATTCCACTGAGTCCTCCACTTTAAAAGTGGTAACCCACTGTGTTCGTCACATTAGGTTGGGATAAAAGTCTAGGGTAGAGCATTCTTTACGTGTCTAAAGCTTTCTTTTCATATGTTTCAACAGTTGCTTGGGAAGTGGATTTTTTGGTAATTTATTTATTTATCATGTCAGGAGCAAACCAAACAGTTGTATAGCATTTTTAACAAACAAACAAACAAAACAAAAAGTTTGCAAGCTTGGTAGTTGATTAGATATCCTTTGAGCAGTAACTGGCCACTTGGAGTGCCTCTGGTGTTACTATAAGAAGGTCCTCCGTTGTGCATGTGGTAGGGCTCAGGTTGCATTGCAGCAGGTGGTCTGTAGTTTGCTCTTCTCCACACTCGCATGTTGTGGATTCCACTTTGTAGCCCCATTTCTTAAGGTTGGCTCTGCATCTCGTGGTGCCAGAGCGCAGTCTGTTCAGTGCCTTCCAAGTCGCCCAGTTTTCTGTGTGCTCAGGGGGGAGTCTCTCATTTGGTATTAGCCATTGCTTGAGGTTCTGGGTTTAAGCCTGCCACTTTTGGACTCTCGCTTGCTGAGGTGTTCCAGCGAATGTCTCTGTAGATCTTAGAAAACTATTTCTTGATTTAAGTTGTTGACGTGCTGGCTGATACCCAAACAGAGGATGAGCTGGAGATGTCACTGTCTTAGTCCTTTCATTGTTGGCTGGTACTTCCCGGCGGAAGTCAGGTGGTGCAATACCAGCTAAACAGTGTAATTTCTCCAGTGGCGTAGGGTGCAAACACCCCGTTATAATGTGGCAAGTCTCATTAAGAGCCACATCTACTGTTTTAGCGTGGTACTAATGTTCAAAAAGATCCAATACAAAATAACACTTTGAAGCATGATCCAAAAAGGCACCAGCAAAAGCAAAATCCCATGAGAACATGACAGAGTTCTGAGACCATGAACACAAGAACTGCAAGATAATCCAGACAAGCAAAATGCAAGCTTCTTGGTTAAACGAAAAGTTGCTCTGTCCTGAAACGACAATAAATATTGACTACAACAGGGACATTTTGAACCTGATTGGGAACCTGAATCCCATCATCCTCATCAGAAGCACTCTGTGGTTCCAGCTGAGTCACAACAGTAGGGTCATTGTAGTGTCATCGTAAGTTGGGAATGATTTAAAGGCACAAAACAATACTTCAAGAAAAACATGGGTGGGGATAAAATATTCCTCCAGAAGTTGTTGAGCTGCAACTCCCAGCATTCCTTTCCACTTGTTATGGTGGCTAGGGCTGCTGGGACTTGCAGTCCAGAAGCATCTGGAGAGTCACCTGGGAACCTTAGTCGTATTTATTTATTTATTTAGTATTATTTATTTCCACTGGGAACCTTAGTATTATTTATTTCCTTTCTAGTCCTCAAATCTAGTGTTGAGAGATTGAAAATTCACACTGAAGTTGTTTGAAAATGAATGTTAGATGTCTCTTCCAGAGATGCCTGAAAATTTCACTTCTTGCTTAAAGTGATGTGACAATCCATGACGCCTCATCAGAAAATGGCATGTTAAATTCTTATTGCAGGTACATCTGAGACTGCCATTTCTTGCTTGAAAGATCTGCATGATCTAGAAATCTACAGTGACTTCTCAGAAATCGCCATCGACAGCAATGTGACACTGGGGTGCAGATCAAAGAAGGGTTGCCTGCCAATTAACTACACATTATATTTAAACGCAAAGAAAATTCAACATATCATCCAAAGAAAGGCTGAAGAAAAGGCTGTGTTTAATATCGCTATCAATTCTATTGGCGATGTAGGTGAATACAAATGCAAAGCTGAAAACAATGGATCTAAGTACAGTCCTGGTTTCAACTTCACATTGAGAGCAGGTATGTTTTCCAGTACTTACTTACTTAGGCGATCCCTCGTTGGACGAGTAAGATGGTCTTCCATTATGGATTTCCTTGTGGGTCCGTATGTGGCTGTGGAGCCCTATTCTTGCTCTGCATCTTCTTCCGCAGTGAGGGCATTGGTTTCCAGGTGGAAGGCGGTCCCGGTCGGGGTTGGCTTGACGCGCCTTCCTCCTGGCACGTTTCTCTCTTTCACCCTCCACTCGTGCCTCCTCAAATTCTGCAGCACTGCTGGTCACAGCTGTCCTCCAGCTGGAGCGCTCAAGGGCCAGGGCTTCCCAGTTCTCAGTGTCTATGCCAGAGTTTTAAGGTTGGTTTTGAGCCCATCTTTAAATCTCTTTTCCTGTCCACCAACATTCCGTTTTCTGTTCTTAAGTTCAGAGTAGAGCAACTGCTTTGGGAGACGGTGGTCAGGCATCCGGACAACGTGGCCGGTCCAGCGGAGTTGATGGTGGAGGACCATCGCTTCAATGCTGGTGGTCTTTGCTTCTTCCAGCACACTGACGTTTGTCCGCTTGTCTTCCCAGAGATTTGCAGGATTTTCCGGAGGCAGCGCTGATGGAAACGTTCCAGGAGCTGCATGTGACGTCTGTAGACAGTCCACGTCTCACAGGCATATAGCAGGGTTGGGAGGACAATAGCTTTATAAACAAGCACCTTGGTATCCCTACGGATGTCCCGGTCCTCAAACACTCTCTGCTTCATTCTGGAAAATGCTGCACTTGCAGAGCTCAGGCGGTGTTGTATTTCGGCGTCGATGTTGACTTTGGTGGAGAGGTGGCTGCCAAGGTAGCGGAAATGGTCCACATTTTCTAATGTGACACCATTAAGCTGTATTACTGGCATTGGAGAGGGATTGGCTGGCGACTGCTGGAACAGCACCTTGGTTTTCTCAATGTTCAGTGACAGGCTGAGCTTCTCATATGCTTCTGCGAAGGTGTTTAGAGTGGCTTGTAGATCTTCTTCTGAATGCGCACAGACGACATTGTCATCAGCATACTGGAGTTCTATAACAGCTGTTGTTGTAACCTTGGTTTTGGCTTTCAGTCTGCTGAGGTTGAATAGCTTGCCATCTGTCCGGTAGATGATTTCCACTCCGGTGGGAAGCTTCCCATCAACAAGGTGAAGTATCATAGCGATGAAGATGGAGAATAGAGTTGGGGCAATAACACATCCCTGTTTGACACCTGATTCCACCTTAAATGGGTCACTTTGGGAGCCACTGCTGTCCAAGACTGTTGCCATCATGTCATCGTGGAGGAGCCGCAGGATGTTCACAAATTTGTTTGGGCACCCGATTTTGTGGAGGATGGTCCAGAGAGCGCTGCGATTCACTGTGTCGAATGCCTTTGCAAGGTCGATGAATGCCATGTACAGAGGTTGGTTTTGTTCCCTGCATTTTTCTTGGAGCTGTCGTGCAGTGAAGATCATGTCCACGGTTCCTCTGGAGGGGCGGAAGCCATTCTGGGATTCTGGGAGGGTGTCTTCTGAGAGGGGCAGAAGGCAGTTTGCAAGGATTCTTGCGAGGATTTTCCCAGCGGAGGTTAGAAGGGAGATACCTCGATAGTTTCCGCAGTCTGTTCTTTCCCCTTTTTTGAAGAGGGTGATGATGGTGGCGTCCTTGAAATCTGCTGGGATTTTCTCGGTCACCCACACTTTTTCTATGAGCTGGTGGAGTTGGTGTGTCAGCTCAGGTCCTCCCTCTTTAAAGATTTCAGCAGGGATCCCATCTGGTCCACTGGCCTTGTTATTCTTCTGTTGGCTGATGGCATTGCTGACTTCTTCCAAACTAGGCAGTGCTGCAAGCTCGTCCCTGGTTTGTTGTTGCGGGATTTGTGAGAGTACCTCTTCGGCCACAGTGGAGCTGCGGTTCAGGAGGCTTTGGTAGTGTTCTTTCCAACGTAGTGCAATTGAGTTTTGGTCCTTCAGGAGTTTGGTTCCATCTGATGAGCGTAGAGGCTGTATCCCATGGTTTCTTGGTCCATAGATGACCTTTGTGGCTTTGAAGAATCCCTGAGCATCATGGGTATCTGCCAGGTGTTGGATTTCTTCAGCCTTCTTTGTCCACCAGATGTTCTTGAGTTCTCTTGTCCTTCTTTGGACCTCAGCTTTTGCACTGGCATAGATCTTTTTCTTAGCAGCACAGTTGATGTCTCTCTGCCATGCTTGGAAGGCTTTCCTTTTCTTGTCAATTAGCTGTTGGATCTCGATGTCATTTTCATCAAACCAGTCTTGATGTTTCTTGGCTTGGTATCCAATAGTTTCTTCGCAGGCTGTGATGATGGAGGTCTTCAGTTTGTTCCAATGTTCCTCGACACTTTCGGGGTGTACTGTGGGTAGATGGTCCTTGAGTGCTGTTTGGAGATGGGCTCGTCTGGAGGGCTCCTGAAGGGCTTGGGTGTTCATTTTGCGCCTTGTCTTCCTTCCTTGGAGTCTGCGCTTGGGAGCGATCTTGAGAGCCATCGAGGATCGAATTAGCCTGTGGTCAGTCCAGCAGTCGTCAGCACCTGTCATGGCTCTTGTGAGGAGCACATCACGGCGGTCTCTGGCGCGTGTGATTACATAGTCTAAGAGGTGCCAATGCTTTGACCGGGGGTGCTTCCATGATGTCTTGAACTTGTTTTTCTGGCGGAAGAGCGTGTTGGTGATGACAAGGTTGTGCTCCGCACATTTGGTGAGAAGCAGGATGCCATTTGAGTTGCTGTTTCCAACCCCGTCTTTTCCGATGGTTCCTGGCCACAGGTCGAAGTCTCACCCAACTCTTGCATTGAAGTCCCCCAGGAGGATGATTTTGTCCTCCTTAGGTATCCCCGATAGGACGTTGTCCAGCTGACAGTAGAATTTCTCCTTGATGTCTTCGTCAGCATCTAGTGTTGGTGCATAGGCACTTATGATGGTTGCCCGTTGGTTTTTGGCAAGATCGATTCGGAGGGTTGAGAGTCGTTCGTTGATGCCAGTGGGTGCTTCGGACAGATGTTTCACCAGATCATTCCTGATGGCAAAGCCAACTCCGTGCATTCTTTGGTCTTTTTCGGGCAGTCCCTTCCAGAAGAAGGTGTAGCCTCCTTTTTCTTCCTTCAGCTGTCCCTCTCCTGCTCTCCGGGTCTCCTGAAGTGCTGCTATGTCGATGTTGAAGCGTCCCAGCTCCCTTGCAATGATGGCAGTTCTGCGTTCGGGGCGTTCACTGCCACTGTTGTCCATCAGAGTCCGTACGTTCCACGTACCGAAGTTCATTTTCCTTTTTTGGCCGCAGGGTGGTGACCCCACTGGACGCGGCAGTCCAGTCAGGGATAAGTGAGGCAGACTATGTTTAGGGCACCTTTTCTAGCCCCCTCCCCATGTGGGGTGAGCAGAGTGGGTCCTCAATAGGGCTGCTCAGTCGTGGATACAGCTGCCGAACTACTCAACTGCCTCGGACCTTGAGGTAGAACGACTGAGTCCGTACCCACCGCCCATGTGCCAGTCTGTGACTAGGGGCTTCCAGATTTCACAGTCCTGCCCCCGTCGCCACTCGCTGATCGCCATGGGACTTTGGTTGCTTGGTTTTTATTTTCTTTGGAAGACGCCTGTGCGTGGGTTTTTTTAATGTGTGGAGGTCAGTGCACAACTGATCAACACACAGACTTCACAGAGTGAGGTTCCACTGGTGATGTAGTTTAACACAATGACCGTGGCTTCTCAGTCTGTTGCAGCCTTCTTCCGCCTTCGCAGCCGTTGTAACATGTGCCATGTTATCCTCCGCCTGCTCCGCCGTTGAGGTCTTTGGGTCTTCGGACTGTGCTTGGTCTGGAACCTCCCCCGCGGCCACTCCTGGGAGTGCACGACTCCAGTTGTTGTGCCTACAGGTTCATCGGAACGCGCAAGCCCCCTCACCACGACAAGGTGACAGTCCATCGAGGGGGGTTTTCCAGTATGACAAAAGAAAGAGGATGCATAAGTCATGTATTGATATCTTAATGTGTTTTTTGAGAGCATAATCAGTTCTTCTTTGGGCTTCAGAAATGAATGCATAAAATAAAATGTGTTTTTATAGGTACAACTGCAATCTTAGGAATTTTGCCTCTGGTTAAAAAGTCTGTTTTGTGAACGGAAAATAGTTTTGCTCACAGTCTCTGACAGGGCGAATTAGACTGCAAAATCACAGCACAATGTCCAACATTTCCCAGGTGAAAGCTTGGACACATGTGACCTAGCAAGACTAAACTGTGGTTAAGATGGCAAACGTTGTTAATGAGGAAATACACATAAATTAGGGGAGGCTACAGTGTTTTGCTTTTGTTGAGCTTACTCGGAAGTGCATGATTCTGCTTCTGCTGAGTTAATTGAGGACAAGCTACTTTTGCATTTGGGATTTAGGCCCCTTCTATACTGCCATATAATCCAGATTATCAAAGCAGATAATGTACCTTATCTGCTTTAAACTGGATTATATGAGTCTGCACAGCCATATAATCCAGTTCAAAGCAGATAATCTGGATTTTATATGGTAGTGTAGAAGAGACCTTAATCTGCAGTAAACTAAGGACAATGAAGAGAAATGGGAAGAGGAGTGAAAAACTGGGACGTATCATAAACAGCTAAAACAAACCGAGATGGCGGTGGAATAATTGGGACAGGGTTGTTGTAGGTTTTTTCGGGCTATATGGCCATGTTCTAGAGGCATTCTCTCCTGACGTTTCGCCTGCATCTATGGCAAGCATCCTCGGAGGTAGTGAACCTCACTACCCCCGAGGATGCTTGCCATAGATGCAGGTGAAATGTCAGGAGAGAATGCCTCTAGAACATGGCCATATAGCCCGAAAAAACCTACAACAACCAGTGATTCCGGCCATGAAAGCCTTCGACAATACATAATTGGGACAGTTGGAGAGCATGTCACAGATATTTATGACAAGCAAATTGCTCCAAGGGAGGAATTATTTCTTTGAATGTAAGCAACCATCTAGTTCTTGAAAACATGGGATCAAGAGGGAATAGAGGGGCTTGCTGAAGGCAGCCATCTGAATCCTAGTGGTTACTCCCAACTGGAGCAGAGACATTGAAAATGGCTAATGGTAGGTCAGCACACATGTAAATGTCTTTAACTCAATTGATCTATTCCAGTTGGGATAGATCAGCTGAGTTCTAGTTGGGCTTAAGGGTACATCTAGAATTAATGCAGTTTGACACCATTAACTGAATGTCATGGAATGCTGGGATCTGTAATTTGGTGAGACAACAGTACTATTTGGCAGAGAAGGATAAAGAACTTGTGAAACTACAGTTCCCATTACCTCATATCATTGAGCCATGGCTGTTGAAGTGCTTCCAAATTGCAATTCTGATTTATGGTGATGCTAAGGTGGCCCTATCACATGGTTTTCTCAGCAAGATTTGCCTTTGCCTTCATCTGAAGGTGCAAAAGTGTAACTTAGGTCGGCAGTTCGAGCCAGGCACGGTGAGCACCCACTGTAAGCCCCAGCTCACTTGTTTGCCTAGCAGGTCGAAACCAGAAATGCAAGTAGATAAAATAGGTTCCACTTTTAGCGGTGAGGTAATAAAGGTACCCTTTAAAGGACATCAATCGGAGGAAAGCTCCTCTGCATGGAAGATAATAATAATAATAAATAAAACTTTATTTATATACCGCTCCATCTCTCCAAGGGGACTCAGAGCGGTTCCCAGGTAACATCACAAAACATACAAAGTAAAAAACAACATTACCATAAGATTAACAAAACAAAATATAAGCATAAAAATTGTTACCATAACACACATATATTAAAAGTAATCCTGCCTGTTCAAAGCAATTAAAAAATTTAAAAGGCCGGGCCAAGATTTGTGCAAGCCCAAAAATGCTAGGGGGCCTGGGAATTAAGTGCAATGCTATGGCAGGCAACAATAATATTAGGTACGGGTCTGTCACTGTTCATTCTGGGGCCAATTAGAGGAAATGAGCAGGGTAATTGGTAGAAAGAATAAGGCCGTATTCAACTATGTGTAGGGCTGAGTTAGAATAGGTCGTTTTCAAAGGCTTGTTGAAACCACCAGGTCTTCAAGTTCTTACGAAAGGAGGGGAGGGATGGGGTCTGCCTTATTTCCCTTGGAAGGGCGTTCCAGAGGCGGGGGGCCACCACTGAGAAGCCCCCCCCCTCTCTCTCTGACACACTAGCTTTCTCGGGTCAACAATTACCTATGCCCCAATAGAGAATTCCCTCCCTGCCATTTATTGAGTGCTTGAATGTTCAAGAGACATCTAGAAACAAGAGGAGTGTGAAGAACCTGTGGCTCTAAAACACAGCCAATGGTTAGGGATGGTGGCAATTGTAGTTCAATAACATAAAAGGGACTCCAGATTCTGAATTAAAGCATAATATTTTCCTTTCTAGAGCTTAACACAATTGGATGTAAAACTAATGGTAGACTTTTGTTGCAGATGAGTCCAAGGATGTTCTTCCTTGCTCGGATCCTGCAAGCAGCCTTGAAATCTCCAGCCCCGTTTCAGAAATTGTACTAGGTGAGAATGTAACACTGGAGTGCAAATCAGTTGCCAAGTGTCTGCCAATGTACTACTCACTGTTTCTTAATAAACACAAAGAACGATTTACTGCAGTCAAGAACAAAGAAGAAGAAAGGATTGTGTTTAATTTCACCATCACGTCCAGCAGTCAACTGGGTGAATACAAGTGCAGAACTCAAAGCAGGCTGAAAGATCCATCCACAAACAAATATAGCCGTGCCTTCAACTTTGTATTAAAAGGTATGAGCATTTTTCCAATAAGAAGAAACAGAATTGTGAGTTTAGGGTGTTGGGAGGTGCTGGTGGCTGGAACATCTCTTTCAGACCAGATATTTGGCAGCCTAAAGTGTGAGAAGATAATAGTTGGTCATGGCATGATACAGGGTGAGGCAGCATAACTTCCTTTTTTATGCTTCAGTTGGTTGAAGATGTAGCAGAGCGCTACTGGTCACGTTTGAGAGGCGGGAGTATAAAGTTTTGTCCTGACACAGTTCAGTCGCCATCATGCGTTGGAACAGTGAGGAGCATGCTTTTGCCGTTGAGGCCTACTTTTCGAGCGGATTAGGAGTGGCCGGCCTGCTCTCCAGATTTGGCCCCTTGTGATTTTTTTCTATGAGGTTTTTTGAAATCCCATGTTTATGTGAACCGTCCAAGGACCCTACAAGATTTGGAGATCAACATCCAGGAAGAAATTGCCAACATAACGCCTGCTATTCTGGCAAGAGTCATGACAAACGCCAGAAATTGGTTTACTCAGTGTATGGAGAATGGGGGATGTCACCTACCTAATTTGATCTTCAAAACTATGTAAAACAAAACTTTAGGTATGCGCCTACATTATAAAAAAAAAATTCTGATTCATACAATGGGTTTTATTAAGTTTTGAAAAAAGGAAGTTATGCTGCCTCACCCTGTATTTTAACTTTAAAATCAGGGTCTCCATTCCTCCTAACATTCAGAGTTTTTGCAAACAGAAAAGTGAATATTCTTATTCAACAAAAAGAGACGGACCTGGACGTATCTCTTTAATTATGTGGCACTAGTTGTTCGTGACTGTAAATGGTCGGAGCCAGAGTCAACATATGCAAGATCAATGATGGGAAATGTGTAGATCTCCCAATGTTGTTGGATTGTGATTCCTATCAACCCATCAGCAAAGTGGTGAGAAATAGTGGAAACTGTAGCTCAGCAGCATCTAAAGCAGTGGTTCTCAACCTGTGGATCCCAGATGCTTTGGCATACAACTCCCAGAAATCTCAGCCAGTTTACCAGCTGTTAGGATTTCTGGGAGTTGAAGGCCAAAACCTCTGGGGACCCACAGGTTGAGAACCACTTATCTAAAGCAGGGGTCCTCAAACTTTTTAAACAGAGGGCCAGGTCACAGTCCATCAAACTGTTGGACGGCCGGATTATAATTTGGAAAAAAAAGGTATGAATTCCAGTGCACATTGCACATATCTTATTTGTAGTGCAAAAAACACTTAAGACAATGCAATAATTAAAATGAAGAACAATTTTAACAAATATAAATCTATTAGTATTTCAATGAGAAGTGTGAGCCTGCTTTTGGCTGATGAGATAGGATTGTTGTTGTTGTTGCTGTTGTTGTTGTGTGCTTTCAAGTCGATCCAGACTTAGGTTGACCCTGAGTGAGGGCCGGGTAAATGACCTTGGAGGGCCGCATCCGGCCTGTGGTCCTTAGTTTGAGGACCCCTGATCTAAAGGATTATACAATCCTCATCTCTGTGCTAAAGAATACCTCGGGTAAAAAAGCAGCATATAAATGTATTGGGAGTGGAGCACAGAAATATTGCAAGACTCAGGCAAGAGATCCTAGAGGGCATGTTAGTGAGCATACTTATGAGGAGCAGTGTGGTTTTCATGAGAGACACTATTGTATTTTTAAAGTTTATTAGAAAGAGCATCAGACTGGATCAGAAACCTATCCCTGTGCACCTAACATGCCTATTAAACCTTTTCTCCTAGAAGCCCCAGAAGAGGAAAAGAACAAGTTGGTTGTGTACATTGTTGCTCCTTTGCTCCTGCTGTTCTTGCTGGCAGTGATCGCTGTAGCAATTCCTCTGATGATTCTTCCTTGGTGTAAAGCGAGTAAGCATGGCCGTTATTTATTGTCTCTCCCCCACTCCCTTCAAATCCATTTTGTATCTTATGGAGTCTAGGAAACACAATGTATTACTTTGAACTTTCTCTTCACTAGCATAGCCTTTTCTTTCCTCAATGGTTAGGATGCATAGGTATTGGTCTGAGGGAAACAATAATGCCTTCTCTTTAGTGGAGCTGAAGAAATCTTCACATAGAATTATGGTGCTTGATAATGTCATCACTAATATTCTAACTTTAACAATGAACTGGCATAGCTTATGCCAGTTCATTGAAGTTAAGCAAACCGAGAAAATCATTCCTTTGTTTAAAGCCAAGAGACATATCTTTAGAGTGGATAACAAGACAGTACTTCCTATGACCAACTTTTCCCCATTACTTTTTGCATTTTGGTTTTTTACAGAAAATCAGAAGTCAGCAAGCACATCCACACGGTTCATTCCCGTTAGACGCGTCGACTCAGAAACATGTCCAACTTATGATGTTGGTAAAGTTGGAACGATTTATTCTTTTGTTATGAAATTTGTGTGTATATTTGTGGTTGTGTGCCTTGTAGTCCAGAAACGTCCAATGGGTTTCCATGGTTGAGTGAGGATTTGATCCCTGGTCTCCAAAGTCACGCAAACCACTATACCATGATGGATTGTGTGTGAGAGTACACACACATAGAGGGAGAAACATGCTTGCAGAACAAATGTTGGTGCTATTTTTGAGTTTAAAAAGGTGGAAGCATGAAATCTCAAGCATTATCTTATCATAAATGAAACTATCATGCATTTTGCCTTCACATGGGAATAAATATTGGTATTTTAAACAAAGAATTAAGACCTGACTGAAACAGCATTATTAAAATCCACCATTGTGGATACAACTTAAAGAAACCATAAGTGTATTTTGCGGTTGAAGTAGACCAGTCATGTGAGTAGGTTGAACTGACATTCACCCTGGATTGTGGTAGACCTTTTGGACAAAGATATTGTCTGTTGTCTGTCTTCTTGCTTAGTTTCAGAGCTCATCCCAGCTCCATGTCCCTTCTGGAGGATATCGTAAAGCTGGTATTTCAGTCCTACACAATACTAATCCCATAAATCAAGGATAATTTTTAAGTTCTCCAGAGGTTGTTCCACTACACATCCATCCCATCACACAATGGTGTGGAATAATGGGAGATGCAACCAAACAACTTCCAGAGGGACACATGATTCCCAACCCAGATATCAGTGGACTGAAGTGATAGGATTTGCCAGTTCTGTGTCCAGATGCTGTTTCTGTAGCACAACCTAGGGCAGGGGTCCTCAAACTAAGGCCCGGGCCGGATACGGCCCTCCAAGGTCATTTACCCGGCCCTCGCTCAGGGTCAACCCAAGTCTGAAATGACTTGAAAGCACACAATAACAACAACAATCCCATCTCATCAGCCAAAAGCAGGCCCACGCTTCCCATTGAAATACTAATATGTTTATATTTGTTAACATTGTTCTCATTTTAATTATTGTATTGTGTATAAGATATGTGCAGTGTGCATAGGAATTCATTTTTTTTCCAAATTATAATCCGGCCCTCCAACAGTTTGAGGGACTGTGACCTGGCCCTCTGTTTAAAAAGTTTGAGGACCCCTGACCTAGGGCATAGTTTTGTTTTGTTTTTTGCAGACTAGAAATACTCTTTTATCTTTTATTTCTTGTATTCAAAATAGTATATGAAAAAGGAGAGGAAGTTGTGTATTGCAACGTGAAAACTGAAACCATGGAGAGAGAATGCAGTAAAGGTAAATTCTACTCAGTTATAGAAAACCAAATTTAGTAAGAAACTAAATCAGGGCTTAATTTTTTTACCACTTGCGACCATTCCACCCAAGAAATGTTTATGTGACCCCAGATATTTAAGTATATCAAATAAATATATAAATCAAACATTTAATGATAATACACCAATCTTTGAAAGACTTGCTAAACAGGCGGAGTTCCTTTTTGTAGAGTACCGCTGAAACATTTTCTGCAGAGGCCACTGTACACACCCACGTTGTCGCTAATAGATTTGTGTAAATGGATCGCAATCGGAAACCTTTATTGTTCCCAAATTTTTGGTGACCCCAACATTGAGCTAATGGGACCCCTTTTGGCTTTAGGACCCAGTTTAAGAAATGGTGGACTAAACCTAGATTCAATATAAATTTATTTACGAAATGCATTACAGATTTGCTTTTAATAAGCAAGTGATCCATCACTGTAAAAATGTATATACTTCAGTCAGCAACACTAGCTAGTAATCCAACAGATGGAGTCACACTAAAATTCCTGTGGTAAACAGAAATTGTCTCACTCAGTGTCATGTACTGTCAGCCTTGTATATATCAAAGGATTCAACCATCCTCGCTTGAATATATTCCAGTAAAATAAAATCCAAAATGCAATTGCCATAGTATATATGGGAATTTAACTACACTATTGTTTATAATGGGAATTGAGCATCCACAGGGCATCCTGGACCTAAATCCCAGTTTACCAAGGACCCACTGTACTCAAGTATGTGAATTTTATATTTTTGTGTTGTCCTGAGAATTTCTCTGACAGGGCCCTCATGATAGATGGCAAGTGAAAACAGATTCAGATGACTCATTTTAATGTGACTCTGTAACACTGAGAACTAAAACTGAAATATATTATCCAATCCACCATTTTCCTTGGGGCATTACAGATGGAAAACAAACTTTGTAGCTGAAATTCTTGTAGCTTAATCCTAAACATACTTGCCAAGCAATGAGTGCCATTGTTTTCCAGAGGCGGCTTTCCAAGGACATTTGCTTCAATTTTGCTGTTGGATCTGGAGCAAATTGGCTGCCTGGCAGGACTTGGGCATATGCTTCTAGGGCAGTCGGATCAATCTTGTGGCCCTCCAAGTATTTTGGACTGCAGCAGCTCCCAGAATTCCTTGCCATTGGACAGGATGGCTAGGACTTCTGGGAGTTGGAGAGCCACACGTGACACCTCTGTTCTAGGGACTCCTGGCCATATCACACTATCCCCCACTAAAAACATTTTAAAAGGCATATTTATGAGTAGAAACTTCCACGAGAAGTTGGGTGAGAAATATATGTAAAATAGCTTTACACCAAGAATTTGGAGTTTTTAAAATGTAGCATAAATATTGATGAAACTTTCTTATCCATACTAATTTATCAATTATACATGTTTTATAATATGAATCAATAAGAAGCTCCTGACTGAAGGGGAGCATAAATATAACCGGAGTTGTTGTTTGTACCTGTTGGAAGAGAAGAATTATTAAGCCACTACCCAAAGCAACAAAGCAGAGGATTTTGTTACTAACCAGACCCAAGCTTGCATTGCTGCATGAATAAAAGTTGCTACTCCAGCAACAATAATTTTGGAATGAGATGAATATATTATAAGGATTCAGGTATAATTTGGAGTCTTGTTTTTATGTAGTGCGTTCCCAGACTTTCCTATTTACCATGATGTCTCGTTGCCCTAGGGACCCTCACTGAGGATACTACAGTGAATTATGCTGAAATCGTCATCAGAAGATAAACAAGGTAAATGCCTTGCCAAGTTACTTTGTCCTACGGTTCTTCCTGTTTTCCTCCTGCATACTATGAAATAGGCACAATTAATTTATTGTCTAGGGTTGCATTATTGCCCCTTTTAAAGAAACATATTTTGTATAACGAGCAACTGGGATCTCTGAAGTTCAGATCATAGAATCATAGAATAGAATAACAATCATAGAATTGAAAGAGAGCACAAGGGCCATCTAGTCCAACCTCCGCCATGCAGGAAAAACACATTCAAAGCACCCCTGACAGATGGCCATTTAGCTTGTTTAAAATCCTCCAAGGAAGGAACTTCTACCACACTCCTAGGCAGAGAGTTCCACTAGTGAACAGCTCGTATGGTCAGGAAGTTATTCTAGTTCCTGGAATTTGAACCCACTGCTCCATTGAGTCCTAGTCTCCAGGGTAGCAGAAGACAAGCCACCCCCTTTCTTATGACATCCTTTCACATATATGTACATGGTGAACATGTCTCCTCTCAACCTTCTCTTCTGCAGGCTAAAGATGGCTAGCTCTTTAAGCCACTCCTCATAGGGATTTGTGCTCTCCAGACCTTTGATAGTTATAATCTGGAAGGTCTACTTTGGACACCTTCCAGCTTATCCATCTCTTTCTTAAATTGTGGTGCCCAGATATCTGTTTACTTGGCAGTCTGCAAAAATAAAACCAAAATGGAGAAATACCCAAAGCATATGACCAGATACAAATAATTTCAATGCACAAACAAAGCATTAGGCAAAGGAACTTTTGCTCACACAAGTGATGAGTTAATCGCCTTTCCTATTTTTCCTCCTATAAGAGAGCATGTTATGTTAGTGTGCGGACTGGCCGTGTTTCCATTTCTGTGGCTCGTCTAAGATTGCTTGTGGACCTCCAGTTGCCCTTGAGAAACTAAAAACTGCCCCATTTTCAGCCCCATAACCAGTGAGACAGCTACAGTGATAAAAAGTCCTGCTGTTATCCTGGGATGACCTCTGCAGGCAGACATCTCCATCCACTCAAAGAAGGGAAGCATTGCCATCTTTTGGCTTCCTGGAGGTTATTCCACTTGAGATATTCATAAAATTAGGAGAGACCACTAAGGCTATCAAGTCCAACTACCTGACATGCAGGAAAACACAATCAAAGCACTCCCCAGCAGATGGCCATCCAACCTCTGCTTAAAAATCACCAAAGGACACTTCACCATGCTTCAAGGTAGAAGCATATTCCACTGCTGAATAGCTCTTACCCTCCGGAAATTCTTCCTAATGTTGAGATGGAACACCCCCGCTCCAATTTGAATCCATTGCCCTGTCCACCATGTGACACATTTAACCATGGCTATCATGTCCTCTTTCAGCCTTCTTTTCTGCATTATGAAACCTACACATTCAGTATCTTAAAAACCAGTTTCTAAGATCTTCAGTAGCAAGCTTGTGCTATTTTGTGTAGCATTCATGGAGAGACCACGAAAGTGGATGGGGGTTTATAATTCCATCCTCTGTGAAAGAAAATTCGAGAAACTGAATTTTTCCCACATCCTTTTCAAATACCATCTCCTGCCAAATCACTAACCTAACCCCATTTATGTAAATATATTGTATTTCAGCTTTCAAATGCCAATTATGATTACACAGACCGCTGGAGAGTGCCAATTGCTCATGTGATTCTGAGTCATAGGAAACTGGCACACATCATAGTTTCATCATACTCATTTTTTTTAAAAAAAAATCCATGCCCCTGATTTGTTTTTGTTGGTCTTTTTGGTACGCGTCTTTAAAGAATTCTAGCTGATATAATTGCTGGGAAAAATATGTCCCATGTATCTCTATAAGACTGCTATTTGCACTTCCAAAGCCTATCCCCAACATAGTATATTGATATAACATTGGAGAAAAACTGCTTTTGAGCAATAGCACACTAATATCTTCCTTCTGAAGATAGCAGTAAGTTGTGATGGAATGTAGTTCCTCTTTAAGTTTAATAAATTCTGAAATTATTATAAGATTCCTTTTCCACTCTGTCCACACAACATATTGCTCTGTTTGTTGTTTATTCATTCAGTCATTCAACTCTTTGTGACCTCATGGATCAGCCCACGCCAGAACTCCCTGTCACTATCGCCACCCCCAGCTCCTTCAAGGTCAAGCCAGTCATTTCAAGGATAATATCCATCCATCTTGCTCTTGGTTGGCCCCTCTTCCTTTTTCCATACTGCTCTGTTTCCTTCAATTTTCAGGGTTTGTCTTTCCTCATCCTTCAAATTACCCTTTTGTTGGCTTTTGGAGTGTGCTCCAAGGTGAAGAGAGCAATGCACCAGAAATGAAGCCTTGCAGCTTTCATTGTGGGAGCCACCGGAGAAGGACTGTGTTGAAAGGAAAATACAAAATGGCCTTTATTATCACTCAGACATTTTTAGCTGCTGAAATGTACTTGGTTAAGAAGTCCTTTAATCTAGATATATGCATCATTTCTTTCATGGTAGTGTTCCTGTTCCTCAGTTGGACAACTCCATTCTCTAGTGTAGCTTCACTGACCAGGATGGTGAAGAGAATACTCATTTCATCGTATCTGCAAGGAAGAAAAAGAACAACAACATGGAGTTTCTGCTCTGGCTTAATAGCAGTACCAAATGCATGGATTAAGAAAGTGTACTTCAGGAAGCTAATAGCCAACTGTAGTGGTGCTGTGTTAAAAATTTCTGGTCCATTCTTAATTTTCTTTCTAGTTTTCTTCATTAACCTTTAGTTTGCGGGAAAGGGGACTGTTAGGAAATTAACTTCTTTCCTGAAAAACGGAGTGGGTGTCTATTTAATAAATCAGGATGCTTTCCAGGACCAAATTTACCACTATTAACTCCAAATTAGTGTTACATCTGCTGCATTTCTTGGCTAAAAACAGCTAATGCCAGCTAGCAAACTTGCAGAACAGGAATATAATGATTTGGGGCGGCGGCGGCATATTAAAGGGAAATGTGGTAAAGAAATGTGCAAAACTCTTGTCATGTATTACAAATTGTTCTAAAAGTGGATTTTTTCCCCAGAGCAGTCTTGATAATTTTCAGAAGTTGGGTGAGTCAGTGCATCAAGCTTACTGTAATAAAGTAAATGTCAGCTGACTATGCATAATAAATTATTTTGACACATCAAGGTTAATTTGGAGAAAAGGCTGTCTTCCACCTGAAAATGCAGTTAGCTTATGGTTCTCTGAACTCTTTTTCTAAATTTAATAGCTTCCCCCTCTCCTTACTTTGTATACAGCTGCTCCAATGTCAACGGCATGGTTTCCAGATATCCAGGCCAAACAGAAATCCCATTTTCTAACAGTTCACTGAACAATCCCTGGCACACCTTCGGGAGGATAGTATTGTCAGTTGTTTGAAGCATGAATTGGGAAAGCAAAACTATACTTTTACAGTACACTGACTGCCAGCATCATTCATTTTTTTATTCATTCATTTACTTTTTACTTATTTACTTTCTCCCAACATATGGAATCAAGGTGCCTAACAACAGCTATGGCACAATACAAATTAAAACAGCACAAATGTTTTAAAATATGGATATATATTAACCCCTTTGTATCATTAAATATAACAATATTAAGATACGTTTTAAAATATTAAAATGCATTCAAAAACTTTCTTAATCCAGTCAATGAGAATTAATGAGGAATTATTCTATATAAACAAATATAGAGATCACTTTTCAAAAGAAATCCCCAACAAGCAGAGTAGGACTATAAAAACAACAAGTCAATAGCAATTCCTTTTTGAAAAATAGACCAGTTTTTAAAAATGGCAATAGTAGATAATGTATTGCCAGAACCAAGGCTCATTAAAACTAATCAGATACAAACTGGATTAAAGTCTTAAAAAACTAAAAACTTCAAAAACAGCTTAATAAATTCAAGTCTGTAAAAATGAGCTCAGGACAGATAAGCATTGAAGAAACATCCCATGGAGGGAGAAGGGACACTGACAATGTCATATAAACTTGTTTCTCTCAAATATATTGTTTTGGGGAAAGAGACTTAGAATGAAAAATTATTTATCATTATTTTGTACTCTTCCTTTCTTACTTTATTCATTTGCATTCTTCTGTAAGATCCTGAGTTTGGATAGGTTTATTTTAATTATAAGTCCTCGAGTAGAAGTTTACAAAGTAGGCTGAGGACATTTTTGCTCCCATTAGCTCCCATCTATCACAATGGGGTTCACACAAAAATTGCCCCTGAGGAGCGGCCTACATACGAGATCCAATGGCATGCACTTTCTGATGCTAAGGCTTCCATAGCAGAAATCCCTATTTCCCAGGGGGAAAGAGTTCGGCACCATGCTGTATGTAGTCCTATACTTCCTGCCATTTGGAATCCTTTTCTCTTATTACCCTAAAGTCAGGATAAGACATCTTAGGAAGAATCTGGATGGCATGATATCCTTCTAATGTGGCATTTAACTCTGTCTCTCCATGAAGGCAATTAGTAAACAGAATCACATCAAACATATCAAACATTAATTTGAGAACTACTAATTTGAAGTATGGTACTACTCTGTTAAAAAATCTACAGCGCTGTTATTAACTGTGTACATTTTACCTTGTAATATTTATTAACACAAATGTCACAAGTTAGTATTTTTTTTCAGTTAACATAGTATGAAATACCACTTAGACCACATTAGATTAGATCTACAGTTTACTACCACAGATTAAGGGTGCTCCCTAAAAGTGGTGAATCACTTGATTCTCATGTACTGAAGCTGTGGTTACCTGCAGCCCAAAGGCTGCCCAAGAATGCAAATCCAAGTTCATACTTCTATAGCTCACCTGTCTCAACTCTGTTGTTGGGCCTCTTGCCACATCTAGTGCTACTTTGATAGGTGTCAGAGATGGATGCAGCTTAAGTACCTAGGATACAACATTTCAAAAATTAAAACAGAAGTTTAAAAAATATTTGTGAATATTTCTAGTACTAGAAAAAGTAATGGGTTGGGCGCAACAGGAACAGAACTCTGAACAGTCATTCAAATCATTTCTAGGTACAATTTCTAGCAATCCAACATAAGAGGCGCATTCCTGTAAGTGCCTTGATTCACATAGGAGTGTGTCCAGTCCCTGCCCAAACCCCCATGTTATAGTTAGTCTACACTCGTATATCAATTTCAATTTCTCAAAATCCTGACAGATATTAATTTAAGATGATCACCTTTCTCTGCTGCGCTTTCTTTCGGGTTAAAGCATTTTCACCCAACTGGAAGCCATCAAAAAGATAAGCTAACACTCCAATGTCCAAATTGCCATTCACAGACAGGATATGGGGGACCATACTCTTCCTCCCATCTCGACCCTGATGGAAAGAGATCAAATGTGCATCCAGAGACATATCACAAGCCAGGAAAATTCAGGTTGTTTTCAACTGGAAATAATAATAATAATAATAATAATAATAATAATAATAATATTACTTTATTTGTACCCCGCTACCATCTCCCCAAGGGACTCGGTGCGGCTTACATGAGGCCGAACGCAAATACAACAATACACGCAATAACAATACAAGCAATTAAAATTAAAAAAAAACATGGACAATAAGAAATGCAATATTAACAATAAGACAACACACAATTAAAACTGTGGGAAGGCCAAATGTAAAATTAAAATTGAAAATAATGCTGGAGCATGGGCGAAAAGGTGGTAGTGGCATTTGTGGAAAACATATAAGCAGACCTAAAATGGAAAGTGCTTCGGAGTACAAAGTGCTATGGGATCATTATTCTGGGAAGGCACACTGGAACAACCACGTCTTCAAGCTCCTCCTAAAGACTGCCAGAGTTGGGGCAAAGAATCTGTTTGCTTCCAGGACATACCAGAGAGCCATGGAAATGCAAAGGGTAACCTCAGACAAGTTACACAATCTTGGCCTCAGAGGAAGGTAAAGGCAAACCACTTCTGAACAAATCTTTGCAAGAAAACCCTATGACAGGTTCATCTTAGGGTGGCCATAAGTCTGAATAACTGAATATGCTGACTCAATTTGAATTGTTTGCAGAAGATCAAATGCTAACAAGTGTTTCTAGAAAAGTTGGAGCATTCAAGGCACTGAGATGGGGAAGTGAGAAGTACCCTCTCAACTGACTGCACATCAAACAAAGTAACATGAAAATTATCTCTGGTGAATAATTCGGATATTATTTATAGCTCTTCTATTTTAGAAATGGTCTTGTTTTATTCATTTGCAAACAGGAAAGTCTCCCTCCATCTGTATGCAATGCATGGAGGTTACATTAATTTTCTGGTGTGGAAGGATGCCTGCAAGGTACTACAATGAGGTCCCGAGCTTTGGCACTCCTGCTCACCCTCCGTTGGTAGATGGCAATCCGATCAGATGTCAGTGCCTCCATTTTTGAAGTTGCCAAAGTGTTTAATGAGGTCTACCTGGAGCAAGTTATGCAACAGATCCAGGTCTGAGCTAAAGTGAGAGGGGAAGCGAACCTGGATGCAAATCGGAGTTCACTTGACTAGCACCATAATTCTCAGCATGTGTTTGATTTAGTCTGACTTCAGATCCTAAGCAGGACTTGGGTGGCTACTTCTGGGGTAGGAGACCAAAATGTATAGCTGAGATCTCCAGGTAGGCCAGGAAAGAATCCTATCTGCAGGCCTTAAAAAAACCCCACTGCTGATGGCCTGATATCTTGATATCTGTCTTATTTAAGATAAGGCAGATTCCTATCTATATTAAGTAAATTCACAAAAACTCACATGTAGTTGTGATTCTTTTCCTGGATACATTTTCAACAACTCATTATCTCCTAGGCTCCGCAGAGTTTCTATCAGTTCCTTTCCCCATGGAAAGCTGTAATACAGATTGCTTCCTCTCCTTCCTTCTTCATCATGATGATCACTACTGCTGAAGTTGGATGGACATATTGCAAACTAAGAAAACAATGACAGAAGTGTTATTGAAAATACAGAACTAAACTGGCATGACAACAAATATGTACATTAATATTTAATATCTATAGCAGTGATTCCTAAACTCTAGTTCTTCGGGTGTATTGGACTTCATCCCCCGGAAAGCTCAGCTGGCTTGGCCAACAATTAGGGACTCTGGGAGCTGAAGTCCCAAATACCTGGAAGACTAGAGTTCAGGGAACACTGATCTATACAACTGATAGAAGCTTGTCTTTACACTCTGAGAGGGCAATGCATACTCATTCACCAAGAGAAGCACAACCAGAAAAAGACATGCCTGAGTGTAGGCTGCACCTCGAGGGCCCAACTAGAGAGAACATTAACTCTCATCTGTGCAGACGGGGAATTTTAGTTCTCCAAAGGACTGTTTTGTTGGAGAATTCTCAAAGAACAAGAACTACTAGGTAGCATAGCACTGCTTACAACTCTGCAGGTTAGAGTATCCCATCGTTTCAGACACTGGCAATTAGAGATTTCCTTTTTTTAAAGGAAAAAAATAGCAGTACATCAACGTCAACTAAATTGATTATGTTACTTTTTCTGAAAAAGGAAGGCTGAGAGTTACAGAAACATTTTATTACATGTGTCTTCTAACTTTGGATATGTAAGTAGTATGGAATATCTTTGGTTCTCTATTTGCACATTTTTGTGGGCATGGGGCATGTTTATGCTCTCCAAAGCATCCAAATGCATAGTGGGGACAAAAAAATGCTTCAGGTTAAGATACTCTAAAAGTTCACCTTGCTGTAATTTCTCCCACTATGCACAGTGAAACAATGGCATTCTGCGTCATAATATCTAACGACTGGGAAGCTTTATAAAATGAAAATCAAATAATAGAAAATCAGGCTTTTCATGTCTATTAGATTGTCTCTGAATACCAAGTGCTAGGGAAGGCAAATGGGAGGACGCTATTGCATTTATATCAAGATTTTGCAAATTGTCACATGACTATTCTAAGGATATTTACTAAATTGTGGGTGCATTGTCTGTACTGCTTTGAAATAACAACCTTCCTTTGACCAACTCTGCTCATGGAAATGCAGTTACCTGAAAGGCATTTTACTTGCTAATGGGTGATAATTCATTTGCAATCCTAGATTAAAGATGTTGTTGGCTATATTTCTCTTCTGCTAACCAAATGGCTGCTAATCAAAGTACCGTTGCATTTCTTAAGTGAAAATTCTAGCGTATTTGTAACTTGAGAATATTTTATGTTTGTAAAGTGTTTCCACATTGCCATCCAGCTTTCCTAAAGCAAAACATAACTTGAAATGAAGGTACAATAACCAAAGTCAATACTTTTCTCCACCACTGAAGGCGCTGACGTAACCAGTAGTCAAGCCACTGTCCAGCAGTTCTGCCAGAGCTGTACCACACCAGGGTGGACATCGTCCTTTCACCTGTTCTTTAAAAAACAAAAGAAGTAAATGACTAGCAAACTAATACTTAAAACACAAGCTCAAAGTATTATTTTTCTACCAAATTCATTTTATTTTGTTATTTTTTTCAGCTATTTAATACTTTATAAAAAAAAGATGTAGGAATGTATAACATTGTACCTCACATGATTCTCTTTTTCATTTGTGGTGACTGCATGGAAACACGTTCCTATTTGCGCAGCCCCAAAAGGCAGCCTCTTGTTTACCAATTCCAGGCATTCAACATAATGTTCTAGGACTCCTAGAAAGTATTAAATAGAACAAGTATAGAAAGTATTAAAAACAGACTGAAAAACAACCCAGGACACAGGCAGTTGTAAGTGTAAAGCTTAGCAGCTATACTGGGGACTGCAATAACTACATACTTGGCATTTCTCATATAACTATGTGTTTGTACAGAGTATAAAGTTCCAAGTACCATTACAGGCAGTCCACAAGTTACAGACAAGATTGGTTCTGTGAGTTTATTTTTTAAATGAAATTGTTTGTAAGCTGGAACAGGTACATTTTTAAAGTCTAACTCCAGCCAAATATGTGTGTGCGTGCGCACAAGCTTTGGAGCGCATTGGGTAGGGTTAACACACATGTGGTGTTTGTTTCGCTGTCTATTCCTTTGTTCAGAAGATTTCACCTCCCGTTCTGTCCCTGTGAGAATTAGATTTTTAAAAATTTGGCTTGTTGTGGAAACAAGGACTGGTGAGAAAGCTTTATTGGAGTCACCTTTTCCCCATGATTATAACTCTTCCAGGAGTAAATTTCCCTTCAGAGGGATAGATTTCTCTCACTTCCTGTTGTCTCACCCCATTCTTAACTACTGAGTTATTTGTAAGTCAGATGTTTGTAATTTGGGGACTGCCAGTATTGGTTACTTCTAGAATTTTTAAAAATCTGATTTACATTTTTCAAAGAAAAATTAATTGTACATCAAAGAATAATAATAATAATTCTTTATTTATATTCCGCTCTACCTTCCCAGAGAGACTCAGGGCGGATTCCAAACATAAACGGCAAACATTCAGTGCCCAAATACAACAATACATACATACCAACAACAACTCAACATATAAACACAAATTATGACTTAACAACTAAAATTAAATAAAAAATGCAGCCTGTTACAACAGACATAAGAGAAAAGAATGTGTACATCTGTCACAATTCAAGTTCTGATATAGAGAAATAGCCATACAATCCATTGTTCACACACATTAGCCATCCCAGAAATCGTAGCCACCAGCTTCAACTGAAGAAAAAGTACACTACACTGATTACTCGAAGAAGTCAAATAACAGTTGGTAATACTTGCAAGCCTAGCAGAACACACATATCTAAATAGGAATATGTAAACAAGAGTCTAGAAAGTGCACTGAAACAAATCTAATTATAGTTAGAAGTGCAATTTTACTTAAAACTACAGAAAAAAAAGACTTAATGGCCCCTTTTACACTGTCACATAATCCTATATAATACCTTGTTTTTACTCGTGTTCTATCTTGAAATGGTCATATGACTGGTCAAATACATCATCATCATCATCATCATTATTATTATTATTATCACTGTCATATAATCCGATTCAAAGCAGATAATCTGGATTTTATATGGCAGTGTAGAATGGGACTGGGCTTGCTTGTCAGACTTGAGTTTTTTTTTTTTCTTAGAAACCTCATCAACCTTAAACAAAACTAATAGATAAGAAATCTAGCTGCTATATTGACTGGCTAATCACCTGCCACTTCTAAATAAAAGGCAAGAGATAGCAAGAAATGTGAAATGCAAAGGCATAAGATTACGATCTTAATCTGGCCTTTATAGAGTGGTGGCTGAGGAGATATCTATACAGTATTAATTATGGCAGTTTGAGACCATTTTAGCTGCCATGGGTCAATGCTATGGGATCTGGAATGCATAGTTTAGTGAGGCATCAGGGCTCTTTGGCAGAAAAGGCTAAAACCTTGTAAAACTACAGTTTCCATGATCCCATAGCATTGGTCCATGGCAGTTAAATTGCCCACATGGATGGTCAGATAGTGGCACCCTTGCTTGCAGATGTGTACAAACTTTGTTTCATGCACAAAATTATGACCATTCTATGTACAGCAGGCATATATGAAACATCAATGGCTTATGAATTTAGACCTGGGCGACATCTGCCCTGTAGAATGAATGCATTTTGACGCCACTTGCAACTGCCATGGCTCAATGCTATGGAATGAGAGTTATAGTTGGTGTTTACCAAACAACTCCTAGAATTACACAGCATTGGGCCAAGGCAGTTAAAGGGGCATTAATTCTACAGTGTAGACGCACCCTTGGATGCCATGTCCGAAATATCTCATTATGCATACTCATGTTGTTTGGTCCCACACATTTTGCATAAGGGTTACTCAACCTGTATCAATTTATGATGCAAGGCATTCAGTATGTAATCCAACGGTGCATCAAACACTAGAGACTGAATACAGTTTGGCACCAATTTAAATGCCATGTTTTTATTTATTATTTATTTACTATATTTGTATAGCGCCCTTCTCAGCCCTTAGGCGACTCAGGGCGGTTTACAATGGTAACGATTCGATGCCCAAAAATACCATAAAACATTTTAAAACATTAACACATAATATAAAACCATAAAAAGAATACTAAAAGCATACATTGTTTGCATCTCCTAATAAAAACATTGTCCCATCTCGTCATCCATCATTCCAATTCCTATGTCTTTTACCCTGCATTTTCAAACGCTAGCTCAAACAACCAAGTCTTGTCTCTCTTCTGAAATGTTAAGAGGGAGGGAGCCGATCTGATGTCTCCAGAAAGGGCGTTCCATAGCTGAGGGGCCACCACTGAGAAGATCCTGTCTCTCGTCCCCACCAAACGTGTTTGTTACGCAGATGGGATTGAGAGCAGGGCCTCCCCGGACAATGTAATCACGGGAGTTGTAGTTTTACAAGGACTTCAGCCTCCTCTGCCAAGAAAGGCTGGTGCCTCCCCAAGCTACACATCCCAGGACTCCACAGCATTGAGCCATAGCGGTTACAATGAGGTCAAAGATGTGTTCATTCTCGATGCACTATATAACGAAATTTGAAATTTGTTTGTTTCTGGCTTGAAAGTGTTTCTGGCTTGAAACCAGTGGTGAGCAAAGCTGCCCACTAATGACATCTTACACGGGCAATATTTGCTTCACATCTTTAGTGCTACAAAACTGTATGGATTTATTACTATCTGGAGAACAAGCCCTATGAGGAGCAGCTTAAAGAGCTGGGCATGGGGGATGCCTGGCTCGAGAGCAGTACATGTGAAAAAGATCCTTGTGGCCAAGTTAAACATCAGCCAACAATGTGATGCGGTGGCAAAAAAGCCAAAGGGATTTTGGCCTGCATCAATAGGAGCATAGTGGTTCTCAACCTGGGGTCCCCAGATGTTTTTGGCCTACAATTCCCAGAAATCCCAGCCAGTTTACCAGGTGTTCGGAATTCTAGGAGTTGAAGGCCAAAAACATCTGGGGATCCCAGGTTGAGAAGCACTGGTCTAGATCCAGGGAAGTCATGCTACCCCTCTATTCTGCCTTGGTTAGACCACATCTGGAATATTGTGTCTAATTCTGGGTACCACAATTGAAGGGAGATGTTGACAAGCTGGAATGTGTCCAGAGGAGATCAAGGATCTGGAGAACAAACCCTATGAGGAGCGGCTTAAAGAGCTGGGCATGTTTAGCCTGAAGAAGAGAAGGCTGAGAGGAGACATGATGGCCATGTATAAATACGTGAGAGGAAGTCATAGGGAGGAGAGAGCAAGCTTTAATTCTGCTGCCCTCGAGACTAGACGCAATGGAACAATGCCTTCAAACTACAAGAAAGGAGATTCCATCTGAACATGAGGAAGAACTTCCTGACTGTGAGAGCCGTTCAACAGTGGAACTCTCTGTCCCGGAGTGTGGTGGAGGCTCCTTCTTTGGAGGCTTTTAAACAGAGGCTGGATGGCCATCTGTCAGGGGTGCTTTGAATGCAATATTCCTGCTTCTTGGCAGAATGGGGTTGGATTGGATAATATATAATACCATTTGAGAAATGTGAAATATATTCCGTTCTTGGTATGAAAGTGTTATTTACTGTTTAACTGTGTGGCACTTAACTTGAAACGACTCGTTCTACTCTAGAAATTTCGTTTTTGTGGCTGCCACAAACTATGTGGAATTGGTTGAGACTCATTTGAGAAAGTAGGGGCCAAATGTGCTGAGGATATCCCACAAAAACAAAGTTTAATCAACTTTTCCCATGTTAGAAAATGACATTCATAACCCAGGAGCACAAAGTGTGTTACAAAGGGAGCCTCAAACTGGGACCTCGGGAGTTTTGGACTTCATTTCCCAGAAGCCTCCGCTGCCTTGGCCAATGGCCGGAGGCCATTGGCCAAGGCAGCGGAGGCTTCTGGGAAATGAAGTCCAAAAACCCGAGGGAAGGAAAGTGTCTTTGTTCCTGAGGGAAATGAGCCCCACCATCCAGGAGGTCCTCACGCAGCGTGTCTGAGGCGGCCAGCATCTTCTGGAGGGCTTCCTCTCCCTCTGCTGTGGCTTGGCGAAGGGCTGCGGGGGCCACTGCTCGGAGGGCCCCTTCTGGCGAGGCGGCGCTGGGACGGCGCGAGGCCCTGGCGCCCAGGCCCAGCACGCGCTCCCTCGAGGCGGCCTCCGACCCCCACCACTGCGCCGCCATGTTCTGCCTCAGCGCCACCCCGAGGGGCCCGAAGCCGCGGTGGTTTCCCCTCAGGTAAGAGCCCCAGGTGGCGGCGTCCTCGTCCTGGAGGAAGTGCCTCCTCCGACACAGGGACAGGAGGGCTTCGGACACCTCCTCGGACCTGCTGCTGCTGCCGTCCTCATTCTCCAGGGAAATGGCTCGCTTTGGGACCCCGCGGAATCCTCCTATTCCTCCTCGGAGCAGCAACAAGAATCCCGAGAGCCGGGAGCCTGCGAGCCTCATGGCTCCGAGGCGCGTGGCCCCGCCCCCGCTGAGCGAAGTGCGCATGCGTCGAAAGGCACGCTTTTTCTGTCTGACTCTTACTGCTGCGGCGCATGCGCCAAACAGCGGAAGGATGTAATTAGGCGGGGGAATCCACCCCAGCTCCAGAAGTGAGGTGTTATTTGTTCCTTTTTAGGCCTCTTCCACACAACTGAATACAATCCACATTATCGGCTTTGAACTGGGATGTAGGCCAGTGTGGATTCAGTGTCCTTCCACACAACCCTATAACCCAGAATGTCAAGGCAGAAAATCCCACAATGTCTGCTTTGAACTGGGTTATCTGAGGGCCCTTCCACACAGCCTTATAACCCAGAATATCTGCTTTGAACTGGGTTATCTAAGGGCCCTTGCACACAGCCCTATAACCCAGAATATCAAGGCAGAGAATCCCACAATCTGCTTTGAACTGGGTTATCTGAGGGCCCTTCCACACAGCCTTATAACCCAGAATGTCAAGGCAGAAAATCCCACAATATCTGCTTTGAACTGGGTTATCTGAGGGCCCTTCCGCACAGCTCTATAACCCAGAATATCAAGGCAGAAAATCCCACAATGTCTGCTTTGAACTGGGCTATCTGAGGGCCCTTCCACACAGCCTTATAACCCAGAATATCAAGGCAGAAAACCCCACAATGTCTGCTTTGTATGTAGATGACACACAATGCTGAGTAAATCACACCAAACTCAAAAGAATATATAATCTGGATAAATTTGCATTGTTGGATATGATTTTTTTTCTATTGGCAGGAATGCCTTATATAGCTCTCTCTAATACAGGCATATATAGTTAACTCCCCACTCAAGATGGAGATACTAAGTGATCATTTCTGCCGCAGTATTAATGGACAGGATTGTTGTTGTTTGTTGTTCATTCGTAATCCGATTCTTCGTGACCTCATGGACCAGCCCACGCCAGAGCTCCGTCAGTCGTCACCACCCCCAGCTCCTTCAGAGTCAAGCCAGTCACTTCAAGGATGCCATCCATCCATCTTGCCCTTGGTCGGCCCCTCTTCCGTTTTCCTTCCATTTTCCCCAGCATCATTGTCTTCTCTAAGCTTTCCTTTCTTCTCATGATGTGGCCAAAGTACTTCATCTTGGCCTCTACTATCCTTCCCTCCAATGAGCAGTCAGGCTTTATTTCTTGAAGTATGGACTGGTTGGATCTTCTCGCTGTCCAAGGCACTCTCAGCACTTTCCTCCAACACCATAGCTCAAAAGGATTGTTGTAAACTGTATCTAAATCTAACTGCTACATATCCCGTAATCCAAGCATAAGCAAACTTCAACCCTCCGGGTGTTTTGGACTACAACTCCCAGAAATCCAAGTCGGTTTACCAGCTGTTAGGAACTGTGGGAGTTGAAGTCCAAAACACCTGAAGGGCCGGCCAGTTTGCACATGCCTGCCATAATCTGAAGATGTTTCATAGTAGATTATGTTGCCAGGACTCACAGTACAGTGTTGGCTGTTGTGAAAGGGCAGCAAATTATGAAATTGTTAACATGCAGATGGGGAAGAGGAAGTACATTTAGCGTTACTGCCTTGAGTACTGGGCTTCCTGGAGGAGAGAAGAGGCCACACTTCTGCTAGCAAAGTATCATGTGCTGGCTCTAGCTGTACCTTTTAATAAGGATGTAGATTTTAACTTTTGACACCTCCTTTTCCATATTTAAACAATAATGACCATTGTTGGGCAAGTAGGAAACAAACACTTAAATTGTGAAAACAGGTTTGTATTGTCAAAGGTTTAGTTTTGGTCATAGTTGGCCAGAGGGAAGAGATGCTGTCAAGTGAGCATTGTAATCATTGTCTTGCATTTGAGTAACAGGAGCATTGGGTTGTTGTGTGTTTTCCAGGCTATATGGACATGTTCCAGAAGCATTCTCTCCTGACGGGTTTATATATCTGTGCAATGTCCAGGGTGGGAAAAATAACTCTTTGTCAGCTTGGGGCAAGTATGAATGTTGCCATTGGCCGCCTTGATTAGCAGGAGCATTTCTCATTCTACCAAGAGGGTAATAAAAATATCCAATAAATTCAGATAAAATGTCTGTACCTTTCTTTTGTGTTCCAGGAATACAACTACTGACCTAGAAGGGTGTTGGAATATACAATAGCTGTTTGATAACTGAAAACTTTCCGAAATGTGTACATTGCACAAAATGTGTAAGTGTGCACATATAGCAACTCCCCCTGACCTCCAGAACAGAGACACATCAGGACACTTCCAGTTTAGATTCTAGAAAAATATTTAAATAGTCCTTCCCTGAAGTATTTGTAGGCCTCTCTAGGTCCTCCAGTACCAGGTATAATCAAATGCTTTCAGGTATTAGGAGAATGTATCCCCACCGATAGTAGTACTATGTATTTGACACTTGTCAATTATATGTGGAAATAAAAATTAAACCAACCCTAGTGTGTGTTGTTTTGATATCAAACTGTTAAAAAGGGTATTGCCAAAGGCTTTCATGGCAAGAATCACTGGGTTGTTGTAGGTTTTAAGGCTGTATGGTTTTCAAAACCTCACAACCTCTGTGGATGCTTGCCACAGATGCAGGCGAAACATCAAGAGGCTTCTAGAACATGGCCATACAGCCCAAAAAACCTACAAAAAACCACTGTTAAAAAGGCTAAATGGAGATCACTTGATCAGGATGGCAAGAAAACATTCAGGAGATCTGAGCAGGAGAAATGCCACGTTTAAGGAAAGGCTGGGCTGGTCTCAAGTGAGAGTTGCCAGGACATAGGTAGTACTAAAAGTCTGTAAACACGATGTATCTCAAGAATGTGTGTTTCTGCCATGTAATACTGGCTCCAGTACATACAAAACTGAAAAAGTGAGGTGCTTCATATTCATGTTGATCAAAACAATCATTGCTATTACTGAATACTGAACAATCTTCCAAATTGGAGGGGGGGGGGGGGCATGATGCAACACACTTTTAAGTTTCTCCATCCATTCATGCACCCATTTCACCAGTAAAATTATTTCACGAATTAATAAGTGCCAAAAATGCCCTTTAGTTACATGAGTTCTAGCCTAATTAAATTTCATATACTTTGCTATACATTTTCCAGACATTTTTTAATTACTGTAGTTTCCGGTGCTGAAAGCACAAGTACACCACCATGGAACACATCTTCAAATGCTCAGTCCCATAGCTGAATACCACATTTAAACGTCAGTGTGGTTTTAGAAGTGCACTTTGCCAACATTGCCAATGGTATTCAGAACTGGCACAGTCATTCTGGCTCAGCAGCAGGCCAGTGGAAATTTCCATCATGCCACATTTGTTAAATCAGTTATAACCTACTTCCATTAGGTGGAGCTTACAGAGAAGCAGCATTAAACTCACTGAGCCAGTTACCACAGAGGAGGATGGGAGTCAGCCATGTTCAAGTTCCAGTGAGTCAGAATAATCCTATTATAGGTGATTTGAAGTACTTCAGAGCCCTCAAAATAAATCTAAGAGGTAGTTGGGTTACTGGGTCAAAATTACATATTTATCTTTGCTAAGCAAATGAAATCCACTGAAATTAGGATTACCAATTCTACCTGTCCTTTAACAAAATAAAAATCAGTTTAGTATCTACAAATATCTGCAAGTTGCAAAGGGAGCCATTTTTAAATGTCTTCCATTCCGATTAAAATATTTTCATGGGTGGGGTGACAACACAAAACAGATGCTAATGTCATTTTACATAACTGAAATGTTGTGTATTTATTCAGACTTGCATTTAAACTGGAAATAGGTCAGTGTTTTTCTTAAAAAGTATTTAGGTAACCTAATTTTGATTCTTCTCTAAAACAGCTACATTTATTTGCATACCACTGTAGGTTGAAGCATGTTTGATTCCAGTGTTGAATCACCAATAAACTGAATACTTATCTTACATATACCCCCCTCCAAGAGTTATGGACCCCTGCAATTCACAAGAAAAATTCCAAATAAGCAGTAATTCTTAAGCTGACATCCTGGAAGCCACTTGTCCACACCAGTAAACCATTTCAAATGCATAGCTGGGTAACTTTCATATTATCCTAGGATGAAAGGAGGAACAGGTGTTTTCAAAAGCCATAGGTATCACATAATCTCCAGTAAACAAGGATCTCTGATACCTTTCCAGTTTCAACAGGAAGTCTGGCATTTAATTCATAATTCTAAATGCACTATTATTTAGGATAGGAGGAAGCTACCCTAAATAGGATAATTAAAACCCTGCACTAAACTCATTAGGAAAACATCGTTAATCCACTGACAAGATTTTACCGAACTGTCAATGAATTTCCCTTAATTTCCAGTTTAATTCCACTAAACCGACAATAACAAGTTATTCAGCCTTTTTAGATAGCATGTTTTTTTTTACTTTGAGACATTTAAGAATCTACTCCTTCCTTAAGTCAACTTCAAGAGATTGTGATGTCCTTTTCATACAGTGCTTGGGGGAACTTATTACATATCCAAAAAGACTGAACCCCAGAGGTTCTGAATTCTAATAAGACTCCAGTCAGAAAAATAAGGTTCTCAGTTGATCCTAAAGGCACTTATATTACAGCCAGTCTAGTGAGAATGGAAGATACAACTTCTGATAGAACAATAATTCAAACACTGAACAAGCAACTTCTGTTTTCAAATATCTTTATTGGAAGGCCATGCATTGCCCCCAGTTGTATTTCAAATCACTGTACATTTACTTTGTGAAAACACAGTCTGCATTTTCTAGTACAAAAAACTAAAAATTGTTCAGGAATGTAGAGAATATTCAACTTAAATAGCGGAAAAGTGCACCAGGTACTGTTGCACTGCAGACGTTTCTGCATGTTCCATAAGATTTTAAATAACTATGTTGTCAACACACAATATAAAGAGCAATTATGAAAAAAAAACAAGACACTTAAATAGACTAGGTTATTGGGTATAGTTTGCTGGCATTGGATAACCTATCATTGGCGTACCGCCAGTTGCAGGGTACGTATACTGCTGTTGGTTCATTGCACCGTGCATATTTGCCATGTTA